TTGACAAGAACAGTAATACATCAAGCATTGTCACATATCTTGACAGGATTTGTAATAGACATGTCTCTATTACAGATATCAGGTTTTGGGCGCGCGACCGCTGACACTACAGACCTCACAGGAATCAGTCCCAGGATACCTCTATTGCCGATGCAGCAAGAGGAGGGCAACAAATAAGGGGGAGGTTGCCACAGGAGAAAGTAGGTGCCTTGCACAATGATGAAGTTGATGCAAGCTGATGGGCACCAGTGTCAGGAGGTAGATGAAAGGGTGCACACTGCCACTAGGATGATATGGGGGCAACCCCTGTCAATGGTGAAGTGACAGATTGGTCCTCCTCAACCAAGAAGGAATGAGAGGAGCAGTGCTCAATGAAGAGGGTACTCCCTGGAGAGGGAGAGCCAGAGCAGAGTCGCAGGCAACACTGCAACAAGGTATAAAACCATACCTCCTCGTCATAGTAGCTGAGTGGATCCCCATCCACTCTACACCTTACACATTACTAGTTATCACTTCAGCATAAGTATACTTAGTAGTTTTCCATCAACAAGTTGCAATCACATAGCATTGCTTCTATTGTAGCACGTGTGTTGTATCACCGCTCATTGACACCATCCGAAGGCGGTTCATGCTGCGGCCCAGAAATGATCAACACCAAAGGCGGTACTCATCGACACACTGGACACTTGTGTCAAAGCAATCACATTAGCATCAGACCTTGGTGCCACCTCAGCTAAACTATTGGACCTTGATTGTGCTGAGCTACCTCTGGACATAGTGTCCCCAGTGGTCAGTTGAAATCCTTGATAACTGTCAGTTAAAACATATTCAAGCAAGAACAGTCATAGAAGGTGTCAGGGGTCTCGCGCCTGAAACCCAGGTCGGTCTGTCGAGATACTCGGTGACTATCAAACTGTGTGACAGCTATTGTCTCGGTATCTGTCTCAACGAGCTAGTCGTTCGGTGACTATCAAGTTGTGCAGTGACAGTGGGTGGCATTCATTGTATATACTATCATAGGTTTCGGCTGACCTCTGTGGACACTCCATTCAGGGGTAGCTCGGCATGATCAATATCAATGCATAGGTTATGTTGACACCAAGGTCTGGTGTGAGTGTTGATGATAATGAGGTTGATGGTGTTGGTGATAAGGTTGGTGGTGTCAACACAAGTGTCCAGTGTGTTGACTGATGCTTGAGGTGATCCCCAGACTGCAGTGGACTACTGCCTTCGGTTCTATCTATATCTGGACTGCTAACCTGCTATGGGGCACCTTCGGACATCAGGTAGTGGTGATACAACACATGCACTACAATGAGGAGCAACCTTGATAGATTGCTGCTATGCTGACTGAAAACTAATGAGTACTTATGTTTCTAAAGTATTGACTAGTTGTATGGTGAGTAGAGTGGATGAGGATCCTGTCATGGGCCTGGATGCTCAAGAAGCAGGAGGGTCACTGGTTCATATGGAAGGAGCACAGGTATCGAAGATCTAGTCGATACCAGTAGAGAGCATGGTCGTAGTGCAGTCTCCATGGAGACCATGGACTCCTACAGACTCACATGCAAAGGAGGACCAAGCTCAAGGAGCAGGCACAGCCACGAAGAGGACCAAGCTCAAGGAGCATGCAGATGGTTACCACTCAGGGGCGAGAGAGACAAGAGTCGAAGGAGTCGACACCACTCAGGAGGCACAAGAGTGCCAAGCAAGCAGGATAGCAAGGAGGAGGAGCAGTGTCGAAGGAGTCGACACAGCTCAAGAGGCACAGGGGTACCAAGCAAGCAGGAGAGGCCCCCTGAACAGTACTCGATGAAGAAGGTACTCTCTGGAGAGAGAGCAGGAGCAGCATCGCTGGCAATGCTGTGAAGAGGTATATAACCATGCTTTCTCATCACCAAAGGTCAAGCGGATCCTCATCCACTCTACACATCATCATAACTAGTTATCACTTCAGCATAAGTATATATTAGTTTCAGTCAGCATAGCAGCAATCTATCAAGGTTGCTCCTCATTGTAGTGCATGTGTTGTATCACCACTACCTGATGTCTGAAGGCGCCCATAGCAGGTTAGCAGTCTGGATCAAGATAGAACCGAAGGCAGTAGTCCACTGCGGTCCAGGGATCACCTCAAGCATCAGTCAACACATTGGACACTCGTGTTGACGCCACCAACCTTATCACCAACACCATCAACCTCATTATCATCGACATTCACCAACCTTATCACCAACACCATCAACCTCATCATCATCAACACTCACACCAGACCTTGGTGTCATCATAATCTACACATTGATATTGATCGTGCCGAGCTACCCCTGAACGGAGTGTCCACAGAGGTCAGCCGAAACCTACGATAGTATATACAACGAACGCCACCTGCTGTCACTGCGCAACTTGATAGTCGCCGAACAACTAGCTCGAGACAGATACCGAGACAATAGCTGTCGTGCAGTTTGATAGTCACCGAGTATCTCGACAGACCGACCTGGGTTTCAGGCGCGAGACCCCTGACAGATCCACTCGACCTTTGATGATGAGAAAGCATGGTTATATACCTCTTCACAGCATCGCCAGCGATGCTGCTCCTGCTCTCTCTCCAGAGAGTACCTTCTTCATCGAGTACTGTTCAGGGGCCTCTCCTGCTTGCTTGGCACCCCTGTGCCTCTTGAGCTGTGTCGACTCCTTCGACACTGCTCCTCCTCCTTGCTATCCTGCTGCTTGTTTGGCACCCCTGTGCCTCCTGAGTGGTGTCGACTCCTTCGACACTGCTCCTCCTCCTCAGGACCTGCTTGCCAGTGTCCTATACACTGCTCCTTCTCCTTTGACCGGTGACAGTTCCTTTGACTCTTGTCTCTCGAGCCCCTGAGTGGTAACCATCTGCATGCTCCTTGAGCTTGGTCCTCTTTGTGGCTGTGCCTGGCCCTCCTCACATATGGGCTCAGTCCTCCTTTGCATGTGAGTCCATAGGAGTCCATGGCCTCCATGGAGACTGCACTATGACCATGCTCTCTAATGGTATCGACTAGATCTTCGATACCTGTGCTCCTTCCATATGAACCAGTGACCCTCCTGCTTCTTGAGCATTCAGGCCCATGACACTTGGCATGATCAATAACAATGAATGTATTGCAACTACACCAAGGTCTGGTGTGAGTGATATGTTTGGTAGTGCTGACACAAGTGTCCAGTGTGTCAACTGAGTGCTTGAGGTGATCCCCAGACCACAATGGACAACTGCCTTTGGTTCTATTGTTATCTGGACTGCTGGTTTGCTATGAACTGCCTTCAGACATCAGTGAGCAGTGATACAACACATGCACTACAATGGAAGCAATCTACTTGATTGCAACTTTGCTGACTGGAAACTAATGTATACTTATGTGAAGTGATAACTAGTTGTGTATGGTGTAAAGTGGATGGCAATCCACTCTTCTCCTATGATGGGGAGCATGGTTATATACCTTTCTTGTAGTGTTGCCCACAACACAGCTCCTCCTCCTCCTCCCTACTATCCTCCCCATCCCTCTTGTGATGCCACTCATTGGCATCACTTCCCTTGCCTCCTGTGGTTGGATGGGCCTTGTGCTGTCTCATCTCCATTAGGGGCCAGTCCCACTTCATCTGAGTGGCAACTTGCACCCCCTTTCATCATCCTCTGGTCATTGGTGCCCACCTGTTGGCACCACTTCATCATCATGCCAGACCCCTGCTTCATCTGGTGGTGTCCTCCCCTTGTACAGTATCCTCTCCTTGTTGTATCAGCAATGGGGTGCCTCCCTGACTGATCCTTGTGAGACCTGTCATACTCTGTGTGATATTATGATTCCCACTGAACTCTGTGGTAATGACTTTGTTCCTACTGATCCCAATGAGTTATGCCATAGGATTGTTTCTCCTACTGATCCCAACAAATTATGCCATAGGATCGTTTCTCCTACTGATCTCAGCAAACTCTCCCTTAAGCTCTCATGTAGCCCATTCCTGCAATTCCTGCACTCCTTCATATGACTTCAACTTCTTCTTACCTCCTGCGCATCTGGCTCCTATGACACTTTCCTGACTGTTGAGGTGGAATTGGGCTCGAAATAGTGGTCCAGGAAGCAAACATGACAAGGCTGGAGTTTTCTTGGGGGGCCCCCCTTTGACTTTGGAACATCAGCTGAGGTGCTTTTGCTGATGCAATTCACAGTAGACTTGCTCAAACCAAGTTGCTTGGCAACTGATCAGGTAGATTCCCCATTTTGGAGGTGAAAGAGTGCTGATTGGCACTTCTCTGGGGTGGTTTTCAGCATGATGGTATAGATATGATGGCATCAGACTGGAAGCACCACCAGATTGCTCACAGTCATCTGATTGAGCTGAAACATTCCATGTCACTACTTTCAATGTATATGAAGGCGCCCACCAAGTTACAATGCAAGTTTCATTGTAGTCAAAAGCCCACAAGGTCAGGAATGGAGCAGTGTTGCTATTTGGCAGCATGCTCCATAAACTGTCCCACAATAAAATAAAATTCAGCTCTTCTTCATAGCACAATTTTTTTAGTCAATGTCAATATCAACTCCACAGTCTTGGAGAGAAGAAGCAGGGCTTTCAGATGATATCAGACAGTGTGGCAATACAACATATGGCTATTGAGCATTAGAGTGATGTGTGGTGACATGTAAAATTATGGGACAGTTTATGCATGTGCTGTATATATATCAAGCTGGGAGTGCTAGGCTCTTGCCATGTTCACTCAGCCAATTGAGTATACATGTTTCTATCTTAAAGCAGCAGTGACATCGTACTTAGACTCTCCCCGATAGCCAGTTATCGGGGCTCAAACGTCTTTACTTTTCACATATCTCAGTCGCAAAGCGTGCGAGCAACGGCAGCAGGATGTCTATCCTCCGTTGGCTGATCCTGGCGGTCGTAGCTTACTTTGCGCACAACACGTATCAACGCATTCAGTTCTCGCGCAAGAAGGCAGAGTTCAAGAGCACACACCGAAAATGACGGAATCAAAGCATAACCATCAACTGATCACAGAAGCCAACAAGGCTTTCTACGAGCTCACCGCCGCCGAGTATGACAACATGGGCCGAGGAATGGTCATTGATGTCGCCAAGACCAATGCTTCCAACATCCTCTCAAGAGTACCCGGTATCAGGTCCTCCTCTACGGAGTTGATGGATTTTGCTGCTGGCACCGGTTTGCTTGCCATGTTGGTCGCCCCACAATGCAAGTCGGTCACAGCAGTAGACCAGTCCGAGGCGATGATCCAGCAGCTGCGCAAGAAGTTGGATGCTCAGAAAAACTCTTCTAATCGCATCGATAACATTGTTCCTGTCGTCGCTGACGTCCTTGCTGAAGGCTCATCTGGTGGCGAACTGGAGGGAAAGCAATTCGACGTCATCACTTGCACGAATGCTTACCATCACATCAGCGATCCAAAGAAGTTGACGCAAGTGCTCGCTAGCTATCTCAAGCCAGGCGGACACTTGGCGGTGGTGGATCTGATCAAGACAGAGAAGTCAGCCGAATTTCACACCGCACCAAGGACGTTCGAGCAGGAAGATGGGTTACACAAACAGATCGAAGACTTTGATGCCAAGCCTGATGAACAGTCCGATCAGCACCGACACCATCATCATGGACATGGGCACAGGCATGACCACTTTCACGGTCACAGTGACCATCACGGACACGATCATGATCATGGACATGCCAGCCACAAGCATGAGAACGTCATTGCTCACAGAGGCGGATTCACCGACCCTGAGATGGAAGACTTCTTCACTGCAGCAGGTCTCAGACTCGTCAACATGGGCAAGTCAGCTCAATTCGTCAAGGATGGTAAAAAGTACGACAACTTCCTTGCCATCGCACAAAAGTCTTCATAGCACATTGCAACTGCAATCTAAACATGATACCATTCCAAGGAAGCCTATACAGTGAATGTGAACGATCGAGCATCAAGGGTAGGACTCTAGCACCTCATCCTTGTTCTCGAACCACGGTTTTGGTCCCTTCTCAAGCGCAGCCTTGACGTCAGGTCGGTCCTTGATGACGTCCCACTTAGGCCTTTCCAGCTCGTAGCCTACCGAAGTGCGGGCATACTGCAGGCCGCCAATACGGGTGATGGGAAGAGTCTTGGCAGCGTCAACAGCACCGGTCTGGGGATTGATCATGTCTTTGCGAATGTGCATGACACGTACGTGACCCAGGACAAGAGTAGTGGTGTGCTTGCCCTGAGCATTGTGGATGTCACGGGTGTACTCCACCTCACACTCCATTGACATTGGCGACTCCTTGACGCGGGGAGTCTTGATCACCTTACTCTTGACCGGTGTGAGGCCTGACAAAGCATACTCGCTGACGCCCGAAGGACAGTCCACAGATGCAAAGTTGAGTGCTTCTGCGTATGGTTCGGAAGATGAAGAAATGGAAAACTCGTTGAGCCGCTTGATGTTGTTCTCGCTGTCCTTTCGCCTATTTTCGCTGCCTCCGAAGGAAATCATAACCATGGCTGGATCTTGCGATACCATTTGATACCAACTGATAGGGGCAAGGTTGGGCGATCCATTCTCGTTGAGCGTTGTGACGAGTGCCACCGGACGGGGAGCGATAGAGGAGACCATGAGCTTGTACATCGTTGCCGATGAGACGTTGGTCTTGCCGATTTGAATGACGTGGTACTCGGCGTCATCCGCAGCGAAGGACGCCGACTTGGGATGTGAGTTGAGACCTTGGCCAGCTTTGAAGTCGACTTGAGGTGCTTTGGTCAGGGCGTAGGACAAAGTAGGGTCGAATTCGGGTCTTTTTGCTTCTTCTTGTTTGAAAGGCTTGTACTTGGAGCCTCCACCGGCACCTGTACCGGGGACACCGTACGTATCACCATTTGCTTGTGAGGACATATCTATCGTGTAAGAACTGAAGGAGAGCAAGAGAGGATGCTTAGATGGTGGTTACACAGCAAGGCTGATGAGAGGAGAAGATCGACGATGCTTTTGATGACCGAAGAGGCACGGCTAAACCCCGCTACTTCCGCGTGTGGGGATAGGGATGATTGAACACGGCTAAACGAAGCCGCCTGAATTTTTAGAGCGCTGGCCGTGTTTTCCTGCTAGCTATCTGCCTGCTACCTATCTGCCTGTCATTTAGCTGCGTCAAGAGGCCGTGTCGACCGCTTGAATCTGCTCCTGACTTTTCTCTTCTCAACATGACCATTGTTTTGTACCTTTGCTGATGCCTGCTGTGTGGCAGTGTGCGTGAGCTCCTCGTGAGCAAGACAGAAAAGCGAAATCCTACCTCATTGATCCCAGTTTGGGAGCAACATACTGAGCACAGACCATGGTGCAGAATAGCTCGGAATTCGGAAGTGTATCTGCAGTATGAAGAAATATAAATTTTTTGTTTGATCAATGCGTTGGACCCTGTTTGCTCAGTCGCGTTTCAATCGCAACTTTTGTGCTATCTAACACCACCCACTCGAAGGATCTCCGCCACTGCTACGCTTATCTCAGTCGCAAAGCGTGCGAGCAACGGCAGCAGGATGTCTATCCTCCGTTGGCTGATCCTGGCGGTTGTAGTTTACTTTGCGCACAACGCGTATCAACGCATTCAGTTCTCGCGCAAGAAGGCAGAGTTCATTCGTGATCGCAGACGAGCGGCGGGCATTCCAGACGACGACAATCGACCGTTCGCGATAGCTCGAGCAGATGCACTTTCTCGTCGATCACAACAGAGGCGGGGAGAACTGCTTTGCACACCGGTCAAGAAGCGGTCCTCTGGGATGACACCATCAAGATCACATGCGAGCATCGATCAAGAAGCCGCTGCGCGCCTGTCAGGTATTCCTGGGACGTTGCCCGGATACCTCAAAGATACTCTCACAAGCAGTGCCGTGTCTACATCTACGCAGAGCAGCCGATACAGGCCAGCGCAGCACAGATCTTCTAATCCTTTACGCAGTCCATCTCCCGTCAAACAAAGCGTTGATGAAAGGAGCTCGTCTCAAAGAGAGCTCAAATCACCAACAATCAGGAGGCAGAGTCCGGCAAAGGACTCTCACAAAGCGCAAGAAAGACCGAGTAATCGACGAAGGCTCAAACGGAGCCATTCGGCTTCGCCATCAAACTCTGAAATCTCGGAACAAGATACTGTCGCTTCAGATAGCAACAAAGTGTCCAAAGTATCGATTCCCGGTACTTTCGGTGCAGAACAAAGTCTCACAGATGAGGAGATGTCTGATGCCGCTTCAACAGCCACAGGCTCCGATGCAGAGGGTATGGACGAAGACGAGAACGAGAACGCAGAGGTGAAAGCACACTCTCAGCGTCCAAACGGAGGCAATACCAAGGCTCGCAGTGACGACCTGCAATCACTCCAGAATGCAGCACGTTCGACAGCGAAGAAGCGCGAAGCGGACGAGCTGGACCTCTCAGACACCGAACAAAGCATCGACACAAGCGACGATGAGGAGCACGCACTACCCCAACCTCACAGCTCGAAGAGATCGCGAACCGTCAACAAGGATGTGGATCCTAGTTCCTCTCTCGATTTCGAAATCGCACTACCCGAGGAGGCGATGATCGATTTCGTCCCCGTTCACGATCCACCTTCATCACAGTCAAAGTCAAGGCAAGGCAAACGACAGGCTGACACTTCGGACGACCGGCAACCTGGCGAAGAGTGGGTCGACTTCGAGGGTCTGCGCTGGCGCATACACCCCGAGACGCATGAGCTGCAGCGTGGGAGCGATGTACTTGAATGGCGGTCCAAGTATCGGATGCCACGCGACTCTCTACACCCAATGGCGAAAGAATCGCATCAGGTTGTGGTGCACAAATGGCTGACGAAGGAAGAGTGGGAGGATGCGAAAGCAAAGAAGCTGCTATCCTTCCAAGAGCCAGAGAGGCTGGCCGAAAAGGAAAGGTTAGACAAGGAAGAAGCCGAGAAGATGCGTCGAAAGCAGGAGCTGTTGGCCAAGATCCGTCAGACGTCGTCACCCAACAAGCGTATCCAGTCGTTTCTTGTACAGCAGCAAAAGCGTCAGTTGCAGCACAAGCTATCTCGCAGCGAGCTGAGCGGTGATGTTTCGATGAACTCGTACGCGCCCAGCGAGGCAGATGGAGATGCAGCAAGTATGTCGATCGACTCGTCTTCCATGACGATGGGAAGCGAAGCATCGACACCTAACAAGCCAAGGTCGAGGAGAATCTCGTTGCAAAACAGGATGACCCCCGCCAGGGGACTTGACGGGATAGCTCGAGGAGGGTCTGTCGGCCCGGATGGAGGCTCGGTATCTGGAGGATCCTCACCTTCGGGCAGTCCGAAACGTCGAGTTGGAAGTCCACTTGCTTCACCGTATCGAGCAATCCAATATTCGAAGTCGAAGAAGGGTACACCTGCCAACTCATCACCTTTGGTCACGTCAACGTTTCCGCCTCCGTAGCTTGTTCCTGTATATCCAATCACATTGTTCCGATTCCATCATTGCAATTACTACTCTTACGTTTGTTGTCAGGTCTTAGATGCTCATGTGACACTCGAGTGAAGGGGAGAATGGAAAAAAGGGTTCTGGGGGTGCAACGCGAAAAGTAAGATCCTGGGTTTGCATCGGACCTTGCACATGAGCGTGCGTATCTTGGCATCATGGCGTGATCTGGTATCATTGCATGAGAGTGCGGGAAAGGATTGCATTATCATTTGTGTGGGGTCAGTCAATCATATTGCGTTGGCACATCCGTCAGACATGATTGGGACGATACGATTAGCTGTAGCATCGAATGGCAAAAGCGAACGAAAGGGAGGGAGGAAGATCTTTGGAAGAAGTGAAAGGGATGTTGAACGGAAAGGATAGCCGGTCGGTAGTAGCGGTGGACCGATGCAATATAGCCATGCCCAGAGAAATTTGGAAGAAGAGGGAGGATTGCCTCGGGAAAGGGCCGGGTCAGAGCTCAATATTCATGGGATCTAGTGTCCATGGGCACTGCTGTCAGGACATGTGGACATCATGGACAGAGCGACCAGTGTAGTAAGGGAACATGAAAGTGGCTTGTGATACAGCAGTGTAGGGCGGCTGACAGGGGCGAGCTTGTGACTTTGCGTGCCTGACCATGCGGTCGTAAGAGTGAGATGACGGTAGAAGGCCCTTTCCGGATCGTAGACCTCTCAGTCTGATGAATGTGTGGGGTAACAGTAGTCACCAACGTCCAGTTGGACCAATAACAGGACGACATGAGCGAAACGGACGAATGAGAAGGGAGGATCGCGTTGTGAAGGGGGCCGGGTATCAGCCCGGCAAAGGCAACAGATGTGAGCACTGATCAAGGTGACATCGACGCACAGCCTCAGAGACAAGCTTGGCGCCTTTGAACACTGCTGTATCAGCTTTGAGCCTTAATCAGAGACATATGGATGGGTTCCTCACATGACCTGACATGGACAAGCAACCTGACAGGCAATGCGGGAGGGTTTTCAACATCGACGCTGAATTGGGGCCGACCAATGAAGGGCTTGATCAGCACCCTTCTGAAAGGTGGGGAAAAGCCTCCGGTTCCGACTCCGGCGCACTCTACACGACCAAAGGAACGGCTCGTCACTTGACACCGCAGACCATCAAGCCAAGGGATCCAGGTCGATTGTGAGCTATTTGAATTGGAATGAAGCTCTATGGGCCAAGCGATTGACAGGCCGAAGGGTCCGGCCGCCCGTGTTCCTGACCTCGCTTCCCTCTGCTTGTCCTGAGTGTATGTGTTGAGAGTTGGAAGACCCAAGGGTCGAGTACCGAAAGATAGCACCGACGGTCGGATGGAAGGTGCCAAGACAAGCAAGACGGGGAGGAGCGGATGAAAGAGGGTCGTCCGAGGCATAAAGCCATTGCTTCTCCTGACTCACAACGACATGGTCTGTATCTTTCTTATGTTATCTGTCCCTGCAATCGCCAGAAGAGAGGTGCCATGAAGCGATAGATAGGGCAGTCACAGACGGTGTTCGGCTTGTGTAACATGGGGAAAACGGGTTTGCATCTATCCGCTCGGCAGTCAATGGTGGGGACAAGGGGAGTTTCCCCCATGCCTTGGCAGTCGAATGAGCGGTCGCCGTCCACCCTGATTTCGGCAAGTGGCGACTTAGAAGCGATTCACAGGAAGCCACTCCATCACTGTTCACGAGGTCGCTGAATCCACTGGCGAGAAGAAGCGAGAATGACCAAGGGTCAAGCCACATGACGATGAGGAAGCTCACTAATCAAAGGACGAGGGAAACGGCGATTTTGACGAATTTGATTGAAATTGGCCCATTCAAGAAGAAGAGAGGAATGCATGGACTGTAGTGCCAGACTGTATTGCCGGACTGTAGGGCTGTGTTGTTGCTTTGTTGGTTGCTCAAAAGCGTATCAACTCCGCAATGCATGCAATCTACAAGGTGCAGCAAGCTGGCAAAGTTCCGCGCAGCTCGACCTGTCTGATGGAATTCTTCGCAAGGCGGGCACTGTAGTGCTTGTTTCGAAGCCCGTTCTATTCTGGCTTTAGCAGTTTGATCGCATCGTCGAATCGAATTAGATTTCAGTGGTCTAAATGTTGGTCAAGCCAATCACAAGCAAGCTTGCCATCCATCGGAATTCTTCCCCCCCCCATCTGTACGCCTTGAGCGAGATGAGCAGCATGAACGCTTATCGTTGAGGCCCACCTTTCCGCGTTACAACACACACCGCGCGCGCACACACACGGACGTCGAACCTCGCCGAGACGGCAATGGACAAGATTAGGCGATTCAAGGCGAGAATATTTAGCGCTTGGTCAACCCGCGTGGCACAACACAGGCAGGCAGGCAGAGCGAGCCAATTAGGGTCGAGTGCTGAGCAAGCGGTGAGTTACCCAGAACTTGCTCGCGTAAAATCAAGGTGATTCAAACAAAAAGTTCGAATTAGCTGCAGCAGGAATGTCCTGTCAGCCACTTGGCAAAACTCTCTGTCCTCTGCCCTTCAAGCCTGCGATTTGCTCGCGTGTCGATGGAGCTGCTGCCTTTATCGGTGGGCATTATGACTGGTTCACCCCGACTTTGGTGTTGACCTCGCCTCTCTTCGCTTGCCCGTCGGCTTGCTTGCTAACCTATCAGACGCATGGAATCCAGCTGCTTTTTCTTTTCTTTTTTTTTTCATCTTTTTTTTTTTTTTTTTTTTTTTTTTTTTTTTTGCTCCTTTGCTCCTTTGCTCCTTTGCTCCTTATCCATATCAACCGCACTGGCTTGATGCGGTTACCGGCACTAAGTTAGCAAAGCTTTTTTTCCTCTCATGTGGCTCTATCCTACTGCTGAGTCGCCTTACATGAAAGCCGAGCTTTTTCTTGGCTGGTTGAGCTTCTGTGATTCACCCGTCGTTCACTTGCCGGTCTTGACCTTTGCCCTTTCCTTCCACTCTTCCCCTTCCCCTTGCACGCGTGAGTGTCTGTCTGTTGCCACACACTCGTACATTCGGCTGCTCACCGACACCACCCAATGAGAAGGCGAGTTTTCGGTGATTGCCCGTCGTCGTTTGCAGCAGCAGCCACATCTCTAAGCATCAAAGACGAGCGCAACAGAGCTGCATCTTCGGCCTCGCCATCCTTCTCTCGCGTGATTGGACGCGCACAGACACGAATCGTGAGCCTGGGTGTAGTGTGATGTGGTACCGCAAATTGCAATCAAAGCAAGCAAGCAAGATAACGCTCAACTTCGTTGCTCCCACTTCATTGGTGCCCTCGGGAACATTTGCTGCGATTGCCCGCTACTGTTTGATGTTCGACTTCTGTATCTCTGCACTGTTTTCGTGTTTGACAGTTCTTGCTTCGAATCCCCTTGCGCGTGGTTCACTCCTCTTCCTCTCAACAGCTCCTGCTTTCTCAGCATGAGCAGACCTTAGATATGGCTCAAACATGTAGCATTGCCAACGCAAGCTTGAGTGCAAGAAGGTCACCGCTCCGTGGCTTATCCGAGAAGGGCCAGGGAGAAAAGAGGGTGAGAGGGTTTTATTATCGTTCATTTTTATTTTTTTATCTTTTTATTTTTATTTTTTATTCTTTGGCCATATCTTTCGGAGCTCTCCGAATCAAAACATGGGTCTCGAGCGGGATGTGGCCTGTCGTTCTGTCTGTCGTGCCTGGAAATCGACCATGAGACGGCCTTGCCGGTTTGTTCTTCTTCCTTCTTGCTTGCTCGCTCGCTTCTGCTTCCGCTTCACTCGCCGGCAAGCAGCGCCCGGAATTCAGAAGCGGTTTCCATAATCTCTGCCCTTGTGCCCATTTGCCCCCCCCCCCCCCCCCTTATTGTGGGTTCTGGTTATCTTTGAGTCTACGCCCCCTTCGCCCTCATTGGCCAGCCCCTGTTCTTTCCTGCTCGAATGCTTCTGTTGCGTGCCACATCCCCCCGCCTTCGCTTGCTGTCACTCACCTTGACCCTCCTTGGTGGCACATTTCGACCCTCACATGGCACATCCCATATAACCTGCCACCCTCTCGTCGCCATTCCTCTGTCTCTTCTCGTTTCGATATCAACTTCCCCCTCCTTCGCCTCTCCCCTAACCGCAACTCTACACAAGATGGGTGCTTGGACAAATTTCAAGGACGGCTTCAAGCCCGAGGTCTCTGACGAGACCGCCTCCGACTCATCCCCCGCTTATGGCGAGAAGGACTCCAAGGAGTACGAGTCCAACGCTGTTGCCGGTTTCCGTGACCCCAGCGCTGAGGGTGGCCTGAAGCGCAACCTTCACGGTCGTCATGTTCAGTTCATTGCCCTTGGTGGTTCTATTGGTACCGGTCTCTTCATCGGTTCCGGTGGCGCCCTTGCCACTGGTGGTCCTGGTTTCCTCATGATCGATTTCGCCCTTATCGGTGTCATGCTTCTCATGGTCGTCATGGCTCTCGGTGAGCTTGGTGCTATCTTCCCCGTCGCTGGTTCCTTCGCTGCCTACTCTACTCGTTTCATTGACCCCGCCGTTGGTTTCGCCATGGCTTACAACTACTGGCTCCAGTGGCTCATTGTCCTTCCTCTCGAACTTGTCGCCGCCTCTATCGTCATCGTTTACTGGGATCCCAACGAGACCGTTCCTAAAGGTGTATGGATCACAATCTTCCTTATCATCATCACTGTCATCAACCTCTTCGGTGTCCGAGGTTATGGTGAGTTCGAATTCTTTGGCTCCCTCATCAAGGTTCTCGCTGTCATCGGTTTCATCATTGCTGGTGTTGTTATCAACGTTGGTGGTGGTCCCGACGGCAAGTACTACGGCTTTGACACATGGAGCAACCCCGGTGCCTTCAACAACGGCTTCAAAGGTTTCGCCTCCGTCTTCGTCACGGCCGCTTTCGCCTTTGCCGGTACCGAGCTCATCGGTCTTGCTGCCGCCGAGACCCACAACGCACGAAAGGAGATCCCCAAGGCCGCCAAGCAGATCTTCATGCGTGTTATCATCTTCTACGTCGTCTCGCTCCTCATCGTTACCACCCTCGTCCCCTCTGACAACGAACGTCTTGGAAGTGGTTCATACGATGCTAGGGCTTCACCTTTCGTTATCGCCTTTAACAACGCCGGCATCAAGGTTCTGCCTTCGATAATGAACGCCGTTATCCTCATATCCGTCCTTTCCGTCGGTAACTCTGCTGTTTACGCCGCTTCCCGTACCCTCCAGGCCATGGCTACCATAGGGCAGGCTCCCAGCTTCTTCAACTACATTGACCGACAGGGACGCCCTCTTCCGGCCGTTGGAATCTCGCTCATCTTCGGTCTTCTCGGCTACCTGATCTACGCCGGCGACAACGCCCGCAACCTCGTTTTCAACTGGCTCCTTGCCATCTCGGGTCTCTCGACCATCATTAGCTGGCTATGCATTTGCATTTCCCACGTCCGCTTCCGAATGGCTTGGGCTCGTAACGGTCACACTCTCGAGGAACTTCCTTGGAAGTCACCTTTCGGCGTCTGGGGTTCCGTCTACGGTGCCTTTTTCAACGTCCTCGTCATTGTCTTCACCTTCTACACCTCCGTATTCCCCATTGGCGAAGGCGAGATGTCCAAGTCCGACCGTGTCAACGCTTTCTTCCAGGGCTTCATCTCGGTCCCCGTTGTTGTCCTTGTCTTCCTCATCCCCTACAAGCTCATCAAGCGCACCAGGTTTGTCAAGATCGACGAGATCGACATTAGCACTGGCCGTCGCGACCCCGTCCCCGTTGAGGTTCTCCGTCGCGAGCGCGAGGAGGAGAAGGCCAAGCCCCTCTACAATCGTGTTTGGAACTTCTTCTTCTAGACAAAGTTTTGCTCCCGTCTACACATCCTCCTTTGCCTTTTCGCTCTCGTGTAAATCATTGGGCTCTTTTGGATTGCATTACTTTGCTTATTCCATGTAGCACCTCATTGGTAGGTTGCTCGATACCTTTTTATTGCTACGATCTTCACCTTGTATTACTTGTACGATCAATAACGAAACTTTCTGATCTAGTTCAACTTTTCGAATGTGTTCTGTTTGCCCGCCTTTCAGACTGATCCAATTGAATTAAGCAATCCAAATGAAGCAAACTTGGTTCGGAAGCACTGATGCCCACCGTTCAAGCCTTATCCGCGGAAAGTGTACATCAACTGACTCTAAGTGATTCAGATGACTGGAGCGATGTCCGGCGGAATGTTCCGATGTCGACCGAATTGCTCGCTTTTCACGCACTTCGAAATCAAGCTTGACGCTTCCGTGAGCAAGCGGACCAACGAATTGATCCGCATTTACAATGAAAGTCAGTCAAAGAGCGCCACTTGACCGTTGTCCAATTTGCAACTCTCACAAATTACACAATGCTATAATGACACGAGTAGTCGGCCATCAAGCATGTGGCATCATTGATGACTATTATTCAACGGCATTTTCGCAGAGATTCAGATCAGACACACCAAACATGTCTGCCCCGCACTTAACCCCCAGAGGAAGGCAGGACCCCATGCCCAGGGCCCATGATATGTTAGAGGGTAGCAGGTATATTGGCTCAAACCAGACCAATCACCCAGTATTGCACCAGCATACCAGCTAAGTAGATGTCTGAGGAAGGAGAAGGTAGTTGTCAGAGGTCATGCGCCCAAAACCTGATATCTGTAATAGAATCGTGTCTATTACAAATCCTGCCAAAATATGCAATAGAGTGCTTGGTATCATGATTCTTGTTGAGATATGTTGTAGAGGAGTCTCTATGACTTTTCTCACCTGAAGATGTAGTAGTGAGTTTGCTATGACAGGTTTCAACTGACCACTGTGGACACTCCATCCAGAGGTAGCTCGGCACAATCAATAACAATGAATATATTATGATGACACCAAGGTCTGGTGTGAGTATGCTTGCTGGTGGCACTGACATGAGTGTCCAGTGTGCTGACTGATTGCTTGAGGTGATCCCTGGACTGCAGTGGACAACTGCCTTTGGTTCTATCATTATCTGGACTGCAGGTTTCTATGAACCACCTTTGGATGTCAGTGAGCAGTGATACAACACACACACTACAATGGGAGCAATTGATTGAGATTGCAACTTGCTGACTGAGTACTAATGTATACTTATGATAAGCTATAACTAGTAATGTATGGTGTAGAGTGGATGGTGATCCACTCACTTGCTGTGGTAGGGGACATGGTTATATACCTTTGGTGTAGCATTGCCTGTGACACTTCTCCTCCTCCTTGTCCCCCTTAGGCTCCTTATCCATCCTGCGATGCTCCTCAATGACACTGCTTCCTTGTCCCTTGTGGATGGATGGACCTCCCATTGCCTCCTCTCTGTCAGGGGTCAGTCCCACCTCATCTGGGTGGCAACTTGCCCCTTCTCATTACTCCCTGTTGTCAGCACCCACCTGCTGGTGCCAACTTCAATGCCATGTAAGGCCCCTGCTTCATCTGGTGGCAACCCCAGCCATCCTTGCCACTACTCTATTTATTGTGTGATTCTCCTTGCCATTGATCTCTGTGGAATATGTCCTATGACCTTGTGTACTGCAGATTCTGGTGGGATTTGCAATATGATTATGGCTCATGCTGGTCTAGCTGGGATCTGCCCTAGAGCCATGTCAGGGGTCTCGCGCCTGAAACCCAGGTCGGTCTGTCGAGATACTTGGTGACTATCAAACTGTGCAACAGCTATTGTCTTGGTATCGGTCTCAATGAGCTATGTCACTCAGTGACTATCAAGTTGCGTGATGACAGCAGGTGGCATTCGTTGTATCTACTAACATAGGTTTTGGCTGACCTCTGTGGACACTCTGTTCAGGGGTAGCTCAGCACGATCAATACCAATACATAGGTTATGATGACACCAAGGTCTGGTGTGAGTGTTGATGATGATGAGGTTGATGGTGTTGGTGATAAGGTGGGTGAGTGTTGATGATAATGAGGTTGATGGTGTTGGTGATAAGGTTGGTGGCATCAACACGAGTGTCCAGTGTGTTGACTGATGCTTGGAGTGATCCCCAGACTGCAGTAGACTACTGCCTTCAGTTCTATCTTAATCTGGACTGCTGGTTTTGCTATGAACCACCTTCAGACATCAGGTAGTGGTGATACAACACATGCACTACAATGAGGAGCAACCTTGATAGATTGCTACTATGCTGACTGAAACTAATATATACTTATGCTGAAGTGATAACTAGTTATGATGTGTGTAGAGTGGATGAGGATCCACTTGACCTTTGATGATGAGAAAGTATGGTTATATACCTCTTCACAGTGTCGCCAGTGACACTGCTCCTGCTCTCTCTCTCCAGAGAGTACCTTCTTCATCGAGTACTGTACAGGGGGCCCCCCTAGCACCACTCCTGTCCTCCTCCTTGCTATCCTGCTTGCTTGGCACCCTTGTGCCTCTTGAGCTGTGTCAACTCCTTCAACACTGCTCCTCCTCCTTGCTATCCTGCTTGTTTGGCACCCCTGTGCCTCCTGAGTGGTGTCGCCTCTTTCGACACTGCTCCTCCTCCTCAGGACCTGCTTGCCGGTTTCCTATACACTGCTCCTTCTCCTTTGACTGGTGACAGTTCCTTTGGCTCTTGTCTCTCGAGCCCCTGAGTGGTAACCATCTGTATGCTTCTTTGAGCTCAGTCCTCCTTGTGGCTGTGCCTGCTCCTTGAGCTTGGTCCTCTTCGTGGCTGTGCCTGGCCCTCCTCACATATGGGCCCAGTCCTCCTTTGCATGTGAGTCCGTAGGAGTCCATGGTCTCCATGGAGACTGCACTACAACCATGCTCTCTACTGGTATCAACTAGATCTCTGATACCTGTGCTCCTTCCATATGAACCAGTGACCCTCCTGCTTCTTGAGCATTCAGGCCCATGACAGCAGGTTGGGCATCAGAATTGTTTACTTGCACCTAGTCTTTGGTTGAGATTGCCACACCAAGTGCAGGTCTTTGATGTATATGCTTCTGGTTGTATAAGAAGCACTGTTGGCTGCCAACATTTATGCAGATAGTGTGGATCATGAGCAATGTTGTGGCATTTGACCAGCAAACAATTAATAAAGGTGCAGTGTCCTCAACCCAGCAGCCTCTGACAGGTGTTTTGGTGCAAGTTCCCATTCTTTCTTTGTATCATCTTGCAAACCTCCATCCTTGGCATGACCACAATGTCAGATGAGATTGCTAGAAAGTTTGCCATCCAGCAATGTAGATCATCAATAAGCTGCTGCAGCTTTTTGTGGACCTTCTTTGAGCACTTTTGAAGCTTGCAGCATTGCACAGATGACAAGGCAAATGGCAGGGCTGGATGGTGTTGGCAAGCTTCCTGTGGCTGAGCTTGGACTTGCTGAGATAAATGAGGATCAGAAGTGGTTTGCAACAGTGGCAGCAGCTGTTGATGATTTGGTTGATGTCTCTGATGATGACTGCTTTGGATCTTGTCATTACATCAGCAGAGTTGCTCCAAGCAGATACTGTTGTCTTGAGAGCCTGCATTGAGCATGCAGCTGTCAGATGAATACACAGAAAATGGGGTCCTGACACCAGGATCAACAGACTTGACAACAATGGCCTGCTTCAGATATTGCTCTTGTGAAACAACAGATGTTGGCACACTGTAGCAAAGAAGAAAGTATCAATTGCCATATTGGTCCAGCTGGATGCCCCACTTATGACCAGCTTTGAGCTTGGTTGTATACAATTGTAAAATGGCCTTGCAATGGTCCTTGAGGAAGTGGCATCCTCTTTGGCTGTGCAGGCAGATCTTAGCCCAGGTATCCTTCTCACAACCAAAGGTATTGTCCTGACCACTGCTGCAGCACTTGACAGCTATGGGTATGATCCTCAGCTTTGGGGCACCAAGGCTCCCATCTTTGTGTGCTGATTGTGAGAAGGTGTGAACATCAACAGATGACACTGTATGTGGTGCTTTGACAGCAGCCCCCTCATCAAAAACGACTGTACTGTAGCTGGGTAAAAGGAAGATTGAAAAGCTGTTTTGTGTCAGGGGTCTCATGCCTGAAATTTGATATCTGTAGTAGATATGCAACTATTACAGATCCTGACGAGATATGTGGTAAAAGGCTGTTATTATTATTCTTAGGGGGTATCAATTTTCGAGTGTTTTTAGAAACATGTGTTTCTCGATTTTGACGAGTTTTTATTTTGCACAAAAACCTTATGTAAGCTCACCTAAAGTTGAAAAAACACATGTTTTTGAAAACATGCCTCCAGACCTGGTAAAATGGACTCACTTTTTTGTCACTCTCCAAAATGAAGTGCAGATGCATGGATGTGCATCCACTTGCTTCACTTCATCACACTGGTGTGTCATGTCCTTCATCACTGTGCATCATGTCCTTCATTACTGTGCATCATGTCCTTCATTACTGTGTGTCAAATGAAGTGAGGATGCACAGAAGTGCAACCACTTGCTTCCCTCCTTCATTACCAGCAATGAATTTGATAACAGACATGTTAAATTGAATTATTTGCCACCTTTGCTGCAAATGTGTTTTTGGAAACATGTGTTTTTTGGATGCTCCTAAAAGGGGTGTTCAAAAATGGGAAAAAGTCATCAAAATCGAGAAACACATGTTTCTAAAAACACTCGAAAATTGATACCCCCTCTTGTTGAAATCTGTCATAGAAGGCTTCTATGACTTTGTCACAGGGTCAGCGGGTCAGCATATGAAGTGTGCACCAAATTGATTGGCAGCAATCATCAGGAATCGATGAGTTAACCGGGTTGGTAGTGCATATGATTTGCAGGATCAACTGAACTCTGGGATCCTGGTTAATCTTACAAGGATTGATCAGAATCAGCCTGA